CGTAGGCTCGTAGGTCCGCGCGGCGGAGGGGCCCCCTCCGACAGGGAAGGGGTCGGTCCTGCGGAAAAACAGATTCCTCCCGCCTCAAGCGTGAGAAGCAGAGCTGTGAATGTGTGGTGGCGTCCCGGAAATTTTGTTTTTACATTTTGGCAGTGACAGAAGAAACTGCTGCAAAGCAAGGCAGGACCCCTGAAAGCTAGTCTGACTCGCCACCAGTGTCTAGCGTGTGTGGCAACTGGGGCGTAAACCGTTCGAAAGAATATTTATGTCAATGAGTGCCGGCAGAGGAAACTCATTTTCTTACAAGGGGAAGCAAGAGAGGGACAAGGCATGTTGCCTCAGATGGAGCTTTCATAGCTGTGTTAGGTCCTGTTAGCTCAGACTGAGATTACTTTCTTTACAGGCTGTTTGCAACTGTCTACATAGAAATTCTTAAAACCTCAGCTTTCTCTCTTTGCTATGCTGTCTCAATAGCCTGAATATTTGGTAAAACTCTGGACGAGGTAGTGCAATGAAAAAAGGGAAGTTTTGCAGTCTGGAATGGACAAAGTTGAGCTGAAGGTTTTGGTACATGGCCTGCAACGTGAAGCAGGTATTGTAACAGTGAGACGTACGAGTGATGCTGGAAAGAGAGACAACTGAATTCGTTTCCATGTTCTTGTGGTTTCAGTCCACCATATTATTATGCCTATAGAACAACTGGTAAGATTTTCACTATGCTGCTTGTTGTTGTTACTACTTGTTAGAAATACTTAACAGGGCATGAACCTGTGGTGTTTAGAATAAGTAGCCAGCTAAAAGCTGATCAAAAATGGCTTCCAGTAGGAAGAATCCTTTCCTGTGGAAATGCATGTATTTGCATATGTATGGTGTCATTAGCCACCTAAAATTAGTGTGGAAAACTATTGTGAAAAAATGTTTAAAAACTCTGCAGCAGCTATCAAGCTTTCTCAATAATCCATGTATTTATATTATATTAGTTAAAACTTAATATAGTAACACTTCAAACTTCATATAAAACCTTATTTGAAAGTTTTCCTGTTTACAGCTTTTAGAGGAATGTGCCTAGTAGAAAATTAAGATTTAAAAATTTACTCAAATTTACAGATTTATTCAAATTATTTTCAGATCGGTAGACCATAAACCATAACTCACAGTCTGCTTTTGCAGTGTAAGCAAGAACTTTAAGCTCATTTTAAAATGCAGCCGTAGCTGTGTGTTCACTACCTGATATTTTTCTATCTTGTGGCTCTTCCTTATGTTTTACTTTTGTTGGCAGTCTCGTGAGAATACTGGTTGTGTTCAGTTCAGCACTTCTGTGTTTTCTCTCTGTCCTTTATGTTTTTGTCTCTGTGTTCTTCAACACTTCCTGTATCTGTGGAGTGTAAGATAAAGGGAGTCAGCAAGCCCCACTTCTTTTCTTATCAAGATTTTTTTTCCCCTCTCTGTCTTTTTTCCTTTTCTGCTTTTTTGCAGAATTCTTAGTACTTGTGACATGGTCCACCAAAATGTGAAAGCACAAGGCAAAATTTCATGTGGTGATCGCCTCTGTGCTGAAGCATTAAATTACTCTGAAGTTACTCCTGCTGGTACAGGACCTGCACATGATCACTATTCATGCAGTGAGTGAATTAGTAATCAAGAAGCATGGTGGGCGTACTTACTAACAGCAGAAAAGCAGGAATCTGTGGCAGAACTGGCCTTTGTTGAAAATGTGGAAAGTTCTCTAGGTAAGTAAAACTAGTGATGGTTTAGCCATTCTTGAATTTTATTGAGTTTGGTACAGGTTTTGGTGTAGTGTTAAGAAGTATTAATCAGCCGTACTTCAATAACTTTTCTTCTTCATCCTTGTAGCACTTTTATTCGCTGATTAAATTCAAGACATGGGGCCAATGAAATATAAGTCAAGTGTGTCCTCGGTGTCCTGTGGTCTGCAGTATCACCGTTTGTTGATACAGTGGAGTCCAAAAATGAATGTACATATCGTGCGGACTTACTGCTCGTCAGCGCCGAAGAGGCCCGAAGCCAAGTCTGCGATAGAAATGGCCGTGGGTCTGCTCAGTCGGCTGACGGAAGCTGGGACCGTTATGGGGAAAAACTCCCTTCAGAAAATGTCTGCAACGTGCAAGAGTTGGTGGGACAGATATGAAGAGTTTGTTGGAATCAATGAGGTTCGAGAGGCTCAGGGAAAAGTGACAGAGGTAAACGTGGAGGCAATGTGGAAATTTAAAAATTATGAGTTAAGTTGTGTGAAGTATAAATGCTGGCTGTGAAGCAAAAAAGGTCCTCCAAGGAGAATCATGTCTTTGTCTGCTTTGACTGTGCAGATACTAAGAATGTGTTCTAGTCTGTGCATGTTGGTAAATATAGCTTATCCCTTAATTGAAATGTGGTTTGTTTTGTTGGGGTTCTTTTTTCCCTCAAAAAATTCATATAATTAGCGATTTAGATCTGTCTGGTAATAAGTCTCTGAAATAACTACTCTTTCTTCTTAGGCTGAAAATGTCTTTATGATAGCTCGAGGGATTGTACGAGAGGCTCGTGAAAACGTAGAAGCCCAACAGATTAGACTGAAGGAAATTCGGGACCGCTTAGACAGGGTCTCTCGGGATGACACCCAGTATTTAGAGCTGGCTACTCTGGAACACAGGCTGCTGCAGGTAACTTGTTGGTACTTCAGCACTGGCAAATACGATGAAAATCTGTGTGCTTTGCTTCTGTCACTAGTGACTCTTTTTGCAGATGCAGTTCAGTTCCAAAGTCAATTTCTGATGATACTTGTTTTAGTTACTTATTATAGATTATTTGATCTGCTATGCAAATTGTATCTGTTAATGTTAAAATAGGGCAGTAAATTTGGAGCAGAAAGCTGAAGATAGTGAGCCTGGGAAGTTGAGTGTTGGCCTGTAAATGAGTAGTCAACAAAAAACTGGGATTCAAAGAGTTCACCTTCCATGTGATGAGAGAAGCTCCTTTCTGGTTGTTAATCTATGAAAACTTTCTCAGCTCTTCTGCATGGCTGCAACACCCATGTAATTCATTAAAGCTTTTGTCAGAGAGCAGCAAGAATGAGACTGCTCAGTGAGGGAGGGCAAGCAAGAAGATGGGGTTGACGGCAGCGCAGGCTGAGGCAGCGTCCTCAGCAAGGGTGCAGTCAGTCCTGCAGCGCCTCAGCTGGATGAGCCAAGCAGCGCTGGTGACAGGAACATGTTTATTAACAGCCCATCAGTCAGAGATAAAGACAAGGTAGCAGCTGAAGTCAATCCAGGAAATCCAGGTGAAACTGCAGGAGCAGCAGGGAACAGGCCTGGAAGCAGATACACCCATGGCAAAGCTCAGGCAAGGAGTGGGTACCGACGCCTGAGGTTAAACTGAGCTCCTGGATCAGCGGGTAGAACATCAGGAAAGAACTAGAGCACTGCAGTTGTCTAAGTAGGGGATCAGCTGTGTGTGGAGGAGACTTAAAGAAGACTAGAGCTCTGCATGACTGTGAAGAAAGGCAGAGCTCAAGTCACTGCTGTCCGTAAGGTGGTGGTGCCGTCTTACAAAAGAAATACACGCTTGGAAGAATGAGAATAATTCTGGGAGATACAGGGAGAAAGGGAAGACATTTGTCTGTGTGCAGGTAAGAGAATGCAGAGGAATAAGTATGTGTGTTTATGGGATGAACCTGTCCAAGACATCCTTTCCAGTCCTATTTTCAGTTCCCATTTAAGGGGTTTAGAACTGAAAGGTCATGTTTGGAGAAGTAAGCAGGACTGGAAAAGTGTATGTTATAGGGAGAGGAAGACCTTGCCCACTCACACCCCTTTTCTGTCATCAGCGTGGGACAGATTCTTGCATAGAGGATCTTCAGGCTGTAATTTCTGATGACCTTTTCAGTTTCTCAGTTTTCACTTAAAATGTTGTGTCATTGACTTAAGTAGAATTGATAAAGAAAATCCCATATTAAAAGGAAAAATTCTGGAACAGAACTAATGGATGTTCTTAATTCCCATTCCTTCATCTGCACTGGGGTTTTGGGTTTTTTTTTTTTTTAGTATAGACTTTGTAGCTTCATATTATACCTTCTTCTTCAAATCACTGTTTCTTGCAGGAAGAGAAGAGGTACCGAGCTGTGTATTTAAGTGCAGAAGAATCTGAGAGAGAAAAATTCTCTCTCTTCTCTGCAGCTGTAAGGGAAAGCCATGAGAAAGAGCGAACAAGAGCTGAAAAAACAAAGAACTGGTCAATTATTGGTTCTGTACTGGGAGCCATTATAGGTGTTCTTGGTTCCACCTATGTTAATCGAGTAAGGCTGCAAGAATTGAAAGTCTTGGTGCTTGAAGCACAGAAGGGCCCAATAAATTTGCAAGAAGCCATCAAAGAACAGGCCTCCAGCCATTACTTGCAGCAGAAGGATCTCAGCGACGTCATAGCAGACCTGAAGAACGTGCTGCAAACAAGGACATCACAGGAAGTAAAAGAAGGCGCTTTGTTAACTAGAGAAGACGGGAATGACTCTGTAAAAATAGATTCTCTTCTAATTCCTTTGAACGAACAGCTAAACTACACTAAACAAGTCAGTTCATGCCTAGGGAATTTACAGCGGCAGTTGAGCAGTCTGCAGGAGAGCACGGCGCAGGTGATCGCCGAGGTGCAGGCTGTGAAACTCGCGGTCCATTCTAGGCCTGCAGAAAGAGGGTTGCCAAGGTCTGCCGGGGAGGGTAAGGGCCAGGCTTCTGCCGTCAGGGATGTGATTTTAGAATTGTGTGACACCGAGCGGAGACTGGAAACACAAATGAAGAGAAATTCTATTTACAGCACTGCAGTGACATGTGCTATGTTTGCTGTCACTCTGCCAGTACTCTATATTGTACTTAAAGGGAACTGATCTCTAATTGCCACAATTTACTAGATTTATAATAAAAGTAGACTTACACTCTAAGTGCTTAGAGTACAAGTCGAAATAAGGTTGTGTTAGCATTTCTCTTTAGGCTTTCTCCTGCGTCTTTGGACAACTTGTGAGGAGAGTCCGTCTGCTGCTGCAGGCTCAATGTTAACAGCCTTTGTCACGCGTTGTGGTTTTTAACTCCCAAAGTAAAGGAAATTCCACAGGTTCATCTGTTGATTTCACTCGCTGCTTCACTCTTTTACTGTCTGGTCTTGTACACCGTGCCCGGCAGTTACTTTTACTCTGGAGCTGTATTGGTGATTTTCTGTTCAAATGATTCCTGTAAGTCAATGATGGGTTAAGTACTTTGTGTGTACATAACGCTTTATAATTTTGCTCCTGCTTTCTTCTTAGTTTTGCAATTTATCCATACACAAAACGTTAGGAGTCATTTTGCCAAACAGGTAGAAACATTTGCCCTGAAGTTCTTGTTTTGTTTCCTTTTTTTTTTTTTTTTTTCTTTAATTCTGGATACAATGCAGAGGCTTGCAATATCACGAACAGCAGGGGCCGTGTAATAAGGAGGATTGAAGTAACCATGAAACAATGTGGCTGCACAGCCGGATGCTGCATTTAAAATACATTTAAGTTACATGTGGCAACTTTTTCTTAGGACCCTTTATGATAAAGTATCCAAAAGCATTTCTGGAGCTTTAGGTATTTGTTACTGATTGGTCCATGTTGTGCAGGCTTCCAGGGAG